GGGCAGGGGGGCAGGTGAGGGGGTTATGCAGTGGTCGGGGAGAAAAAAAAATTCGGTGGGGTGATAGGGCCAGTAGCGGGGTGGGGGGGGGAAGGGGTGTAAGGGGGGTGTGAGCCACTGTGAGGGCCCCTGATACCCCCTCACACCCTCCATCACCCGCTCCCCTACCACCATCGAACCCAGAAACCCCCTGCCACCTTGAGCCACCCCAAAAAACCCCGTGACTCCCCCTTAACACCCTGCCCCACAACAAATCCCAACACCTCTGAGAGGTGTTGGGATTTGTTGTGGGGCAGGGTGTTAAGGGGGAGTCACGGGGTTTTTTGGGGTGGATCAGGTGGCAGGGTGTTTCGAGGTGGCAGGGGTTTTCTATATGTGAAGGGTTATTGGAAGGCGGTGGACCGGGTGTGGGGTGTGTGCAACAAGGCAAATTATAAGCAAACAACAGTCATACAGCACGGGCACACGAGGTCGGTAACGTAACTCAATTGCAACTTTAAAATGTTTTGTCAACACATGAGATCATACATGCAACAACGACGATCCATACCAGGGCCCACGATGTCCCACACACACACTGGAAATGGTGACACCGCCATACCCCCACCCACATCCGCACGGTCAGGACACCAGCTCCCAGCTGCACTTGCAGCTACAGATGCAGCACAAGGAACGGGAGTTATTGGAAGCCACGGCCCACATATAAGGCCTGGAAGCATCAGTGTACGCCTGGGCACAGGCTCAAGCCCAACAACTAGCACAAGAAAAGGCCCAGGCCCAAGCGCAGGCCCAGGCCCACACCCAGTGGCTGGCCATGGAACACGCCAACGTGCAGACACAGACCCAACTCGAAATCCAAAACCAGGAAGCCCTCAGACACATACAACAGCAAATGTGCCAAGTCAACACACAGGCACAACTGCTTGCAGTCAATACACAGGCACAACTGCTCGCCGTGGCCAAAGAAGAGGCGCCTCTACCCCTTGACCATCAAGGGGACACCATCCTGCACACAGGTGTTGATGAAACGGTGCAACAGCATTTCCGACAGGTGCCTGAGGGGATGAACGACGAGCAGGGAGACTCCCTCACCTACTCACCGGATGCGGTGCAGAACCAGAGACATCCCCAAGGGATAACACCCGAGGAAGCTTGGTGGGCCAAACGAAAGGGTCACAAAAAAACACGACCCACCATCTTCCACACAAGAGTGAAGACCCAGCTTAGAGAGCTGGTGGACTGGGTTCTCCTGAAAATGCTCTCCCCGGAGTCGATCTCTCTGCACGACCATATCCCCCCCACACATTGGGAAAGGATCCAGAAGTTTGTCATCAGAAATGAGGCCCTCCAGCACACGGTCAACTCTTTCAAACACCCGGATGAGATCGATTGGAAGAGTGTGGCCAAATCGGTCATTCAGGTCACCCAAAGAATAGTTGACAGCCCTTGCACCCCAGTTAATAGAGGATACCTTCTCAATGGATGGCCAGACATGGCCACAAGTCCTCATTCAGGAGATGGAAGAGGTGCAGCAGTCAGACCAGAGCCAAAATATGCTGGCTGCAAAAACCCAGTCATGGGAGGACAGCATCCCACCCCACTTGCTCAGAACTGTACTACACGTAACCCCGCTTCAGAAAGTCAACAGCACACAGTCCACAAATTTGGCAATCAACCTCATCTCAGACTCAGACTCAGACTCCTCCTCTGCCTCCTCCTCGGAGGCCTGTTATACTGATGACGAAGAAGGGGAAGACACACAATCAGAATCTGACTCGGAAGCCGAGATTGTACCACAAACACGGGACCAGACAGGGCGACCACGATTCGAAAACAACCAAATGAAAGGTGACCACCAAATCTGTGGCCCCTCGAAGGGCCCCCCGCAGCCCCTCATAAAGCCCACCACCAAAGGGAAACTCATAAACCTCATAAGACCCTCCTCCTCCACTCAGGCGCCAAAGGACTGTGAACCCCTACAGGGCCTGGCACGGCCTGCTACTCCTTCCGATCACGAGGGATCCTCTCTCCCGGGCATGGCAGCTTGGTCTGCGCACAAAGGGACACCTAACAGACTTTACTGTGGAGCACGCAAGCTCCAAAAACGAATTTGTGGCTCACGGTTGAGGGATGGAAGGGGGAGTATGAGAAACCGGAGGCTGTGAGAATGATCGCAGCCCTCCTCTCAGAGAACAAAGATACAGGGGCCCAGGGGGTGGGCCTGCCTCAGAACCACGATGGCACAACCACCCACTCCCGCGAGGCATCACGGTGGCCACAACTGCCTTTGACTACAACCTCTCCCAGAAAGGAGCCTCCTCTCTGCTATGGTTCGCTGAGGAACAGTTCGCTGACCTGTCAAGAACTAGGCTGAGATCCAACCCGGCATGGAGATTTGCCCAGATCCATATTTTCCTCCAAGCTATTTTAGAAAATGGGTTTCTCCATGCCACAAACAAGTGCGATGACCCCATGCTCCTAAACAAACTGTGAGCCACCACATACTATAAACCACTAACTCTTTAAAAAAAAAAAAAAAAAAAAAAAAAAA